TCAACCAGTTTTAATGAGGGAGTCTCTACTCATACCCACCTTAAGAAGGACAAATAAAAACAAATTAGAGTAAGACAAATGCATGACAGCAAAACGAATAAACAACATTTACTACAGTGAACAGGATTTAAGGTTTCAGGACTCGCTCCTCATGTTTCTGTTTTCAAATCTGAACCAAAAGCTTACCGATTTCCAACCGCACAGATCTTGCAATCAACCACTTGACATGGCCTTTCCAGCAATTTTTTCAAAAATTTATTGTCGTCAATATTACATTTTTACTTTACCTGTCGAAGAATTTTCCTTGACATCTGCAAAACTGAAGATGAATCAGAAACGTCAAATCAATTATCACTCATTTTTTTCTGCCACTTTTCCAATAAAACTGTGAAAATGAGGCGGCTGTCAAAAATTACCGGAGAAATTTATCGAGAATAATCCAGCACTCTTTTGGTAGAGCGAATTCCAGTTGCTTACGGAATTAATATCCCTGAATATTCGTGTTAAATCCCTGTAAATACGCCTCCAGGACCCAAAATGGACCCCTTTTTGTATCACATTTTTCAGGGTAGGATCTGTCGCAACTTTATGTGATTTTATTGCAGAATGACGTAGTCAAATTCAGCAAAATATGGAGGACCATTGTGGGTAGTGAGGCTTGAAGCAAAAATAAAACAGAAATAAGCCGAAAGACACATGATGTCGTATCTAAAAGTTTTCCATACTTATGGTAATTTATTATATATATTATATATACATATATATTATATATATACATATATATTACATATTTTTTTGAAATATATATTTATTCTATATATTTATAGTAATACCTGTTAACTGGCAAAAGACTTTTTCCAAATTTTTAAACTCCTCTATACCGTGAAGCAACAACATTTCAAGGTAAAGAGCAGCCTAAAAATTTAAAGCTCGAGATTTCCAACTTGAGCCTCAAAATCACATCTTATACAAGTTTCGTCGTCCAACCGTATAATCAGTCAAATATTGTCGCGAATACAGACAGCTTCCTAAAATTGAGGATCGGACCCTCTTGTCTTCGATTCCTGAGTGTCCTATCAGCGCTTATTGTCACAAATTTTACTGTAAGCGCATTTAGCCTTTCCCACTCACAGTACCAACACTCAGCTCTTTGCTTCTTCCACATGAGTTTAAGACGTTGTCTTGTCTTAAACTCCTCACAGAGACCAACTAATTTCTTGTTTTAAGCAGAGATCACCTATATACGGGCTTAGGAAGAGCTTACCTCATTCTTTGCTACCTTACTTAGTGTCAATGCCACTAAACCTGAACAACTTGTGCGTGCGCCTAATCTTAATGCTAACTACTTTCTTCACTCACACCTTGAAACAATACAAAAGACACAAACCCAGCCTCAATGACTATTATATCTCATAGCATAAAAACAAATTACAAAAAAAGTAATAAAGCAAAGTTACCCTCCCATTAAGGACAGTATGCGCAAAATAACTATCTGCCAATAGGCACATGAACAAAACGTGAAGATAATCTCAACAAAAAATCCAACCGACCGAATCAGTCATAAAAGACACTGATTCTACACGAGGCTCACTCTCTATTTATACGCACTGTCCCACCTTTGTAGTGATTTCGTCTGCTTTCCTTACGAGAGCTTCCCCTCAGGAAACATACAGCAGCCGACCACTTTATACTGTAAAATTACTATTTCGCGTATGGTCGCAACACGAATAACAGACAAAATTTTAAGGAATGTGTAACTGGGAGAGTAAAACTTAGATCAGTATAGAACGCCTTAATCGCCTAAATGTGCAAATACATGGCGTACAGAAAGTTCCCTTTGCCTTAAAAACACTGAGCTTAAAGTAGGAAACATATCTTCAAGTATGTGTGTCATCGAACATTCAATAAGTTGGCTTCCAGAAGTGATGGTCAAAAAATGTAAAAAAGTTTATCAGCAACTGTTTGAAAAGAGGATCATTGGAGTCTCGAATATAAAAGTTTTTTTATCGAAATATTTAACTTATAGGTCATCAAAAAGCAGTAGAACATAAAATTTTAAACAATAACCTAATCAGTTGCCAACGTTACAAGATCATTACGCAACCTCTCTCCCGATTCTCCTGACCTGTCAACGTCGTCAAATTTTAATCTTGAATATACGTACAAAAACAAGTGTTGAAGCATTTTTGACTGCCCAGAGAAGAAGTAAGTGAGTAATGCGGAGCACTAATTCAGGTAAAGAAATTCCAAAATTCTCAGCAACGTAGTGAATTTGCCCATTCTTTCCAAAATACGATTACATATGTTCAGCAGTTTATCCCATATAAGAAAAAGAAACTGTGGTTAAATTTGTTCATTATCAAAATTTGGACGGAACTGCTAAAGCCTCTGCAGAAACTGTTTTAGCAGTTGCGGTTAAAAGGTTATTGGTAGCTATGCTACTTAGTATTGTCTACCTTAGTGGACTAACACTTGCTGATTTGAAAACCAATTGAGTGACCAAGTGTCCCCTCTGTTACTTTGGCTTTAGTTTAAGTTTCTTGCATTTTCCTTCAACATTAGATTTTACCTTCCATTCTCAATCTTATCTTCGTTTTCATTGATATTGTTACGTCTTTAATTTCCTATATCCTTTTTATATTTTCTATTTTTACTTTATAATTTCATTTTATATTTTTAGTTTAAAAAACTCTTTCAGTTTTTATTTAGTCATTTGTTTCTTTACGTTAAATGGCCATTTTTTACTTCCACTACTCTGCAATCGTAATTTGTAGTGTTACTTTAATTTAGTTTTATTTTATAGTTTTATTTCTATATTTCTTTCCTTTCCCCCATTATTTTTTGTGCTTATTTTTGCTTTGTACTTTTGTATTTCTATTTCTTCCATTTGTAGATATTTTCAGTTTAAAATTAACTCTGCCGTCTGCTGTAGCTTTATCTGGCGAGACTTTAATACTCGGCTATTTTGCATAACCCTTCATATGAGCAAATTAACTTTGGGAAAACTTTTCTCTAGGATTCTTCTTTAGTGTTCTTTAAAACGAATGTTACGTCTGATGCATTTCCTGTGCTTTATTTTCTCCTTTTGATGATAAACAAAGGTGTACTTTTCTTTTGGTTTGAAATTACAACTTTGATTTTTGTGTGAACTTTCTCAGCTTCTTCTTTTTAGCGTCTAACTTAGAACATCCTAATGAGCTTTGATTTTTACCCAGCCAGTTGCTTTCGGCTGTAATTTCATTGATTAGATAGGTCAAGAAAAAAATCTGAAGTGCTAAGGCTACAACTGTAGGTTGTAACTACCAATAGCTGAATCTTTTTTTTATTTAAAATTGAACATGGTTTTTAGCTTCTCGGGTTAACTCTCTTCCCGTACCATAATTTCTTACAGGTAGCCCGTAATGCGCTATTGCTGCCACAGGTTCAAGAGACGATACGGACTTTACCTAAAAACACCAACTTTTTTCTTCAACATCCTCATTATAAGTAATATACTCACTGTGTTGTAACAATCGGTCTCAACCAGTTATCTCTATGTTTCGTATTTTCTTTTCGCACCTCATAATCTTTTGCCATAATTTCGCCTCCTCTTTTTTGATTCTGTTGTGTTAATGTTACTGTTCGTTGACGGGAGAGAACTCGCTTTGTACAACAGATTAAGCGGCAAAAAAAAAAGCCATGACCTAGACTTGGTGCAAACCTTCCCTTCTGTTAGCAAACCTTTTGTTCCGAAGTTAATTCTTGTCATGTATTATACTACTGTTGTTATACCTTCCCTTTAGACCCGTTTAGCTATAGTTCTCTGTTGGGACGAGTTTTTCTTCAAGGAGTTCCAATGAAAGGTATACGCAAAACACAATTCGTTTTGTTTTAAAATTAATTCATAATGCTTTTTCGTGAATTACACGAAAGAACTCTTTCTAAACAAATCAAAACTCCTGAAGAGCATTTCTTGCTGTTTGTCGGTAAAACTTTGATAACGGATGCTTCTTTATAATATACGTCAAAGTCGAAAACACATTATGAAAAAGCACGAGTTGTTAAAACTCTACCAAGAAACAGCAGGAAGTGCCCTTAAACAGCTTCAGTCCGTTCGACACGTCCTTCCGTGGAATTCACAAAAAAGCTTTCCGACTAAATTTTAACAAACGAAAAGTCATATATATCCATCATCAATGGATGTTTTTGAATGGATTACTCGAAGTACATTCATTATTTTACTCGTGTTACAGACAAAAGGAAACCCAATAGTATTAGCAACGTTCGAAAACTTTATACAGTTCTGTGAGGTCAGCAAGACGGCGCACTTTAGAAGCTAGTGTTTTTGGTGGCAAAAAGCTTGTTTTTAAACTAGGGAAGAGAATATCGCTATAAATAGTTTTCCACGAGCAAGTCTGATCTCCAAATACTGAAAAAGCTTCCTCAGAACAATATTCCGCTTTTGGTGAAAAGAAATCTGCCAGAGCCCAACAGATACCTTCAAAACACGTTTGTTCCTGAAAGATGAAGATAAACTGACTATTTATGAGCATCAAATATCAAGACACTTTACAAAGAGTCAAGTGAGACCGCAGGTTTACAATAAAAGACTAATAACTAAATGTCGGTGCTCAAAAAAACAAATTTCTTACGTGGTCCCAGTCAACATCGTAAGCAAGAGTCGAAACCAGTGTCGGTAATGACTCCAGCTGCGGCAAATAACCATCCACTAATGATGGTATAGTTTCAATAGCTCCATCTTTCGAAATACGCAGACAAAAATAGTCGTCAAGCATA